CAACATGTTGGTAGGTGACAGCCCCCGAAGAGTTACTCCTGCGCTAGGTACCTCGACCCCTGATGACGCCGGACGGGTGACCGGCAGAAACACGGTGTTGTGCTTCGTGGGCGCTGCTTTTCTGTGTGTTGTGCTTCGGTTCCTTACCTGCGCTCGGTTCCTCACCTTTCTCCTTCCTGAGTGTTGTGCTTCGTGGGCGCTTCTTTTCTGTGCGTTCGAGTTTTAAATGCAATGGCTGATGTATGCTACCAGGCCCGAATTGGAGAGTAACTGGTGGGACACCCATCTCTCCGCTGCTCTGCACGCTCCGAATGTGTGGAGAGTTGGGCGTCCCACTGGTTACTCTCCAATTCGGGCCCGGGAAAACTCTTGGGGGGCTGTCAGAGCAGGGACCTAGAAAGAAGGCACACTCCAAGCTACAGTCTTCACCCGAATAGAACGCCCGGCGATTATCACCGTATCTGGGCTGAAAGTTGTGCCAAATACACAGCCATAATGACCGGGCGTTCTATTCGGGTGAAGACGGTAGGAGAGTTCCCCGCCTGCCAAAGCCAGCATTGTTTTGGAGAGTCCTTAGCTGAGAGGCCGCGATGCATATCCAATTTTTTTTTTTTGGAGAGTGTGTCTGTCTGGAGTCCACGTGGACAAAAACGGACTTCCAGACGCCTTTTCTGTGCTCTTGGACAGATGTCTTCTTGTGCTCGCCGAGTATCGCCAACCAATTTGGAGAGTGACGAGAGTCCTTCAATGGACAGTTAAGTGAAGCGGTGACGCATTTTCGCCCTCTTTGGAGGAGAGTACGAAAGCTCTCCAGCTAGTCCCCATTTTTTTTGGAGGGTGGGGAGTAGTGGTGCTAGACCCGATGTTTAACAGCCCCAGGCAAAAGTACATGATATGTATGTGTCAGCAGCAGAAAATGGTTCGCCCTGCTCTGCTCTGCTCACATTGGTGACGCTTCCTTGATGAAGCTACCTTCTTCCCCCGAATACAACGTACGGTCATTATAGCAGCTGTATTAGAGCCATCTTTCAGTCTAAATACAGCTATAATGACCGTACGTTGTATTCGGGGGAAAAAGGTAGTTTTGAACGCACCAGTCTGAGCTCGCAATTTCACACAGCAAATAGGGGGCAAAAAGAAAGGGAAAAAAAAAGGGGAAAAGACTTTTAAAAAAGTGAAAAAGGACATAACATCAGCAAAAAATGGTGGGTGGGTGGGACCGTCGGAGGAGTTCCCACTTAAGGACTTCCAATTTCCATTTCCCCTGCTGACAAGTCCCTCCTTGTGCGAGTCGCAATCGTCAACTGCCACAAGTCTAGTGAGACCCAACCTCCCACAACTCCTGTGGGAAGCAAGTCCCAACTGTACCTTGTTTTTGCGCAAAGAAGAGCCAGGTAGTCCCAACTGGCGAATCCCAACGAGTGAGCCCCAAGCAGTGAATCTCGGGAAGCGAGTCCCAGGTAAAGATTCCAAGTCGCAAGTCCCAAGTACTATCCCCGTGTGCCATAACGGCCCCACTTGTATGCATCTCCTGTACAAGGCTGTCGTTGTTTGACGGTTTCTTTTCAAGGGGAAGTACTTGCAGGCTGTGGTTATCTGCTGGCTGATCTGCTGGCTGATCTGCAGGTTATCTGCTGGCTGACTTGCAGGTTATCTGCAGGTTATCTGCTGGCTGACCTGCAGGTTATCTGCAGGTTATCTGCAGGATGACCTGCAAGTTATCTGCAGCTGAGGTGTCATCAGGATAACCTGCAGGATGACCTGTTGTCAGTCCCATGACAAGTTGTGCATCTCACGTACAAGGCTCGCCATACAAGCAAGCACTGCTTCCCAAATTGCAGACCTCAGCTTAAGTTGCCTTTTTCTTTTTTTGTTTGCTGGAAAGGAAAACCTCTCAAATAATTAACATGTGAGCTCTCCGAATGTCCGTAGACAAAGACACACGCTGAGATAACACATACCGCTTCTTCTGCCAACAATGTGATAACACACACACACACACACACACACACACACACACACACACACACACACACACAGAGCCAGCAAGAGAGAGAGAGAGAGAGAGAGAGAGAGAGAGAGAGAGAGAGAGAGAGAGAGAGAGAGAGAGAGAGAGAGA